TGCAGGCTTGATTTTGCAGGTAGGAATTTCAAACCAAAAAGAAAAACACTACAAGATCCATACAAATGTTGCTATAAACTAAGACCACCTGTGAGTTTAATTACATGGCATCTCTTTCATTAAACATTCCAATACTGCACTTTACCTGCTGCAGCATCTTTTCCCTTGCTAGAGAAAGGCAGGCCACACCACTACAAAAAACGCTTCCACAGTCACTCTATATGATACCATATTTCAATATCCAGACCTCTCCATACTACCGCCATCTTGTCATAAATTCTAAACACTACCTCTGAACAGAAACAACTGACTACCAAACGCACAGAAAACAGGCACTTTTGAAATCCATGTGTCTGTAACAAGAGAACTTGCAGGTCACTTTTAAGTGTTTCCAAATGACTAAAGATGCAAAAGCAAATGAAGACATGGCAAATAAGCATACAATCATGGGATGAAAATTCTGGATCAGTACGTCTAAAATTATTCTAGCTCCAAATAATCATATTCTCCCAAGACCAGGGGTACATATTCATCTCACGATCAAGGGAGCAAACGCTTATCTTCTGTTTCTACTTTCTGACCATACTGGTTTTTCTTACAACAGACACGAGACCTGCAATATCACTTTTATTTATAAAGATGAAACTGTAGATAAACATCAAGTTCAAGGAAATTGCAAAATAATGGCCCTTGAAACATCATCAAAAGCATACAGGAAATGCATAAGTTTCTCAGACGATGTTACATAACCTGTTTTATTTACTGTTTTGAACCTCTTTTAGATCAAAGTACACAAACTTTGAAAAGTTGTCTGGTATGACTATCGTTTAACTATACTAAAAATGTTGGTCAACTACCTGTTTTCCTTGACTTGTACCAGGACTGTGGATGTATCTATATCTGACTTTGACATTATAACCTAGTAGTTGATGGCTGGGGGGTAAGAGGAGGAAGAAGTGTCTCCAGTTCACTCTTAATGGATGCTTTCTCACTTCCCTCCTTCCTTTAAGATATTTTTAAGAAATATCAATTCAAGCATAAAGCCAGCAATGTCCTGGAGTGGAAAGGAGTCACACTACTTAACACCGCAGCCTGATTATGGCCTAATTATCAGAGAAACAGAAGTTACATTAGTATCAGAATGAGGGGGGGAAAAATGAAATTACTCCTTTTGAGAGTCAGAAGGTTTTAGCTATATCAGCATTCCTATTACAAGACATGTAGTACAACAGGAGAAAGCTAACATTTTAAACGCTTATTTACCTGCCATTTAAAGGCTTCCTAAAAAGTAAAAATTCCGAATGCAAATTAGATAAACACAAATATATACTGAATTCCTCTTTCTCCTCCCATGGATAAAAATTAACTATTTTTCTGAACTATCTCACTAAGAAAACCATCTAAAGCATTCTACAGTTATGTGGAACCATGTTCTTTTTTTTCCATTAGGTGTTACAAAAGTAGAATTCTGCACTAAAAAGCACCAAAAGAAGTCCTAGAACAACTGGTAATTGCAGATTAACAAGTCCCCATCTGAGGGTGAGGAAGTTGTAATCTTCCAACAACTGTGTTTTTAATCAGAGCCACATTTCATTTTGATCCATATATTTACTTAAGATCAGGCACATAACTATGAATACAGATTTTTTTTCCTTTTCAATACCATTTATTTTCCTAATGTAATTGCATGCTCTTAAATGGCATATTTTAAGACTTCTGTTCCATTTTTTAGATCTTATTGCTACTGCTTTCTGTTGAAAGACAATCAAACATGTTTTTAAATAATCTGCACACAAATATGGACTTTTACACCACAAAGCAGCAGTTCAAACTAAGGGCTAATGCAATTTCAGATTATTTCAATACACTACTGACAGAACTCATGGAAAACATCACTGATTCGTTTGCTCCTTTGGTGAAAGATCACAGCACTTGTACATTTAAAATAGGACATGGGAACCTGAGCCGTAAGAATAGTGTGAATGATTACTGCACAAATTTGTTTTCAACCCCAATTGTAGATACCTTACCCACACCAGGGTCACATCAAACAGTGGTAGACACTAGAGTTCTAAAATTTACACTTAAAGAGACTATTCATAGTCTTTTGCAAGTAACCTTTATCAAACAGCAAAGTTACTGAAGTTTCATGTTAATCACAGACTATTCATTGCACTTTTATAAGTATACTGCCATATTTTAATAAAACATACTGCTAGGTCATATTGGAAATTAATTATTGATCCCCCTGAGTTGTTAAGATTAAACTTTTACAACCAATTATTTTAAAATAAGTTAGCTGGAATGATGAACAGTTATAAAGTAAATTAAATCCATAAATCATACACTGTTTACTATGTTTAGATCACTGGCTGTATTAAAGTTTGTTACCACCTATGCACCAAAAAAACATTAACTGAACTTTAAGGAACATGTAAATGATTACTGCTGCTTGAAGCATTTAATATTTTATTAACAGCAATAAGCACATTTTTCATGACAGAAACACTGGAAACAAAGTGATTGCCACAGCTGCCACAGAAAATGGGCACGAACTTAACTTACACAGTTCTACTGGCAGTAGAAAGTGCACTAATTTAAATACAGCTCCATAAAAGCCTAGCTGGCACCAGGTAATAAAGGATTACTCAATTAACCATAAACCAGAGCTTACAATACTCATCGTTGCATTTCCGAACTATTCTTGAATCATAAGAGTTAACAACTGTGTGTTTACAATTTAAAGACAGGTTGTTTGTACACTGTGTGATAAAAGAAGAAAACTAGAGGTTTAAAATCAACACTCAATCACAAGAGAATGATAAAGATGAACTCTCAGTAGCTGTCATTAGTTTAATTTGGACTTCCTGTATTTTAAGTACATAGTCATTTGCTTAAAGCATATCTCAAATCCATCTACAAAGAGAAAACCTCACAACTAGATATGCAGTTCTAAAGTAATTTTTTATAATTTGCCACAAAACCAATTTGTATGATACTGTAGAAGAATCAATGCCTACTATGCAAGTATCTTGACAAGTATGTTTTCTCCCAGTAGTACTGGGAAAGGCAACTGTTAACAGAGAAATGCAGAGTTCAGTACTGGAATTATACAGATACTGTATGTTTCCCTGAAGATACGAAAGGAAACAGTAATGTTACTTTATTACACAAATATGCATAATCACAGTCATCTAGTTAGAGACCTACTAAATGCTGAATTTAGTACTTTGAGTTTTAAGTTTAGCATACATAGAAATGCTACCAATAATCTATGTTTCCCCTCTCCATTACATTTTGCGGCTTTCATCTACTACAGAGGGAACAAAACCACAAATAAAACACATTATCTTCCTGAGTTTCTAGGGTATGTCTGAATTATGACTCCTTTGGTAAGTTTTTTCACAAAAGTAGATACTTTTGAAGCAAACCAGTTATTTGTGAGGTGTCTTAAAACACCAAAACTTCAGAAAATATTGAAACATGAAGGCTCCAGAGAAACATGATAACCTTAGTCCTCCTGAAACATTACCAAAATCACAGTGAAGTTTTACTAAAGCCTGAAAAAGTCAGTTCTCCCCTTACATTGAATATTAGTTAAGAATGCAGCCCATCCTTCCATCATCAAGATGGCATGGAAGTAACAATACTGACTTAGAGCATTCAGTTTTCTTTTTAGGAAAAAGGAAAAAAAAAAATCAAAAGGCATTACACGCCCAACTGGGATATTCATCTTGCCTCCCAACAATAAAAGACTTCCAACATGACAATTTATTGCAGAGTTGTGCAATAAAACTACAAAATTGATTTCGGGAGTGCACGGCACTGGTCTATAGGAGATGCAACATGTATTGAAGGATTAGGAACGTACAAGAGGGATGGAACCACTGCAGTACTAGAAACCTAAGAGAAGTAAGGAGGTTGTGAAGCAGGTGAAATTCTTACACAGCCAGAATTGTGGCAGCTTCAAGAAGTGAACCAATTCAGGACTTCACATCCCACAAGGCTCCTAATTAGCATAAACTCTAGACTTTCGGGGTTTTTTTATTCAGTAGGTGGTGCGATAGGATGAATGGAGACCACTATCACCAAACTGCACTGATGCAAACTCCCATTTCTGAATACCTGCACATCATCTCACTGGCACAATAGCTCCTGAAATGTTTCTAACCATGAGACAAATCATATATTTACAGTTACAAGCAAGCCGGGAAAGAAAATAAATATAGCAAAAGTAAATATTGTGGCCAATGGGGAACACAAGTGTTATTAGCACAGAGAGTACACACAAGACAAAGTAGACAAGTACTATGAAACAGCTTAAATAAAATGCCTTTTTCCCTTGTCTGTTTTTCTGAAATACCTCCAGAACTAAAGGTTTCTTTACAGATTTATCATAGGTATACTTTTCTTCGCAGAAGTGAACTACACATTACTTTTTTTAGGAAATGCATTATCAGAAATGTCCAAAAAGTTATTCCAACACTGTACAAATCATCACTGTATCACTTCTGTGTTTCACAATCGTTCAAATGACAAACTGAATCAAGGGGAAAACCTGCCTTTCACAGCAATCATGCTGTTAACATTTTGTTAAAGCAGAATTGAATTGAAATGTTATGTTAAATAAAGTAAGCTTCTCCTGTAATTTCAGGTCCTTTTTTTGACATCCAGAAACCGTAAAAATCTAAACTAGAAGATTTCAGTTACAGAAAATACGCTCAGTTCAGTTTGTTTACTCTGAAGAGTAAAACATGTTAGAAGTCCGCTTATGCAAGCCTATGTTAGTATTGTGGTTAAACACATGCCTGTGTTAGCAAAACAAGTTACAAGAACTTAAATCTTTTCATTAAGAGCCAGTTATCAAGTACAGACACCTTGCGTAAAAAGCACCACTTTCTGATTCAACACTCACACACAGAAATTCCAGTTGTTTGAAAAATAAGGTTTCCAAAAACAGAAAAAACAGGAGAGCTACTATAATGACATTGATTTCTTACCCTACGCATGGCTTCCTCCTCCTCTTGACGCTTCTCATAATGTGCAAAGTCATCAAAGATTGAGGTGGTATGCTTGAAAGTAGCAATTATTTTAAGCACTTGCTTGGCTTTTTCTAGGGGTACCTCTTGAGTGTCCCTCGAATTGGTAACCGGTTTGTTGTCATTGTTTTCCAAGCGAATATGCCGCAGTTGGTTATTGGGAACGTCTTTGACAAAGATCCATTTGACATCAAACTTGCCCTTCCACTTATCCTGAGACCAGACACCAGCATATGCATTGTAGTCCACAACAGACTTCATCTCAGCCACTCCACAAAAGTGTCCACTGCCATTCACACTGAAGAGTAAATAGAGTGGGCCTTTTCCATTCAGGGAACGGTAAGCAGCATCCAAGCGCTTATTACCATGTTCAGTACTACACCAGATAGAGTACTTAATGGAGCGATGAATATCGTCCTCTGAATAACTTTTGATTATAAACACACGTCCATTCTTCAGATTCCAATCGAAGTCTTTGGGATTGTAGTTGTTTATGGCCTTTAGTTTCTCCAGCACTGGGTGCACTTCCACACCAGAAGGTGAGGAGCTGACAGATACAACACCTAAACCAAAGTTCTCACTACCAGCTCCGTTGTTCTGGCTGAAGCCCACACCCCTATTACGAGGAGCTACCCAGCGGTTTTGCAGCTGTTGCTGCTGCAACTGGTGAGGCTGGGCCTGCTGCTGAGGTCCTTGTTGCTGTTGTGGTTGCTGTGGTTGAGGCTGCTGTTGAGGCAGTTGGCTTTGCACCAGTGGTGGTGGTTGAATTAATGGCTGAGGCTGCTGGATTATAGTCTGAGGAGGCAGTACTGGTTGGGCTGGGGGTGCTTTTACCACTGACCCTTTGTCATCCCAAGTTCCAATATTCATGTTGTGTTTTATAGGTGGTGGTGGCACAGCAGGGCCCCCAATGCCCACATTACCTTTAGGCTTGAGTTTCGGCTGAGGTTTAGCAGGCTTCCTTGCAATGGCAGCCCATGAGGTTGGTTTAGGTGCTGAACTGCTAACTGGGGGCACGCTGTTTGCGGCAATGCTTGTCATACCTGTACTGCTCAGAGCTGAACCTACAGTTTTTGTTACAGCAGCCGTCATATCTCCACCAATTTTCAGTCCAGTCATGCCTTGCTCAATGCTGCTAATCCCAGGCACCTTGCTCAGAGTATCACTGCCAAATCCAGCCTGTCCATCTGCTATGGCTCTCCCAAGAGAACTAGGTGGATAGCCATAGCTGCTGCTGTAAGCAGAGCTTTGCGTTGATTGTCCCTGAGATCCACTTGTCCCCCATGTAGAGAAGTCTGCATTCCCAGGAAAAAAATTAAATCCATGCTGCCCAAGAAATGGAGGGGTATTTCCTAATGCCCCAGGTTGACTAAATACACCATCAGGTATGTAATGGTGTTCACCATTACTCATCTGTCCATAAGTTGTCAAGTATGGCATTGGAGGGTCACCTGCAGTTGACCATGCTGCTTCGCCTAAAGAGTATGGAAATCCAATGGATGGAGCATAATAACTAGGCATATATGGGTCTGACATTGGTGGATAGCTGTTACTCTGCAAGAAAATAAAACAAAAATCAGCAATATAGACAATTATGCTCAGGGAAAAAAAACCTGTAATACAGTCCAAAACATTTTTAAGGATTATATTAATGAATTTGTAACTTCCACCATTCCTCCAGAGGCAAAAGATAAACAAGGTATATGCTAGATATGGCCATTTTTTCCTTAAGAGACCTTTTCAAAGCACTAAAAAGCCCCATTTTTTTAATATATTATCTTTATTTTCAGTTACTGAGCTAGGCTTAGAATGCCTCCATGTCAACAGTATCAAGAAAATAACAAGCTACTTTAAAAAACAAGTCATAACAACTGTAGTTTCATAAATACAGAAAAATAGCCGCAACTATGATTTAAAGCTTTGGTATTCTTAGTTTTCTGTCAAATTTCTCACTTCTAATTGGAAACACCTGCCAGAATATTACAGTGAAAAGGATGCAAGGATGCCTGTTTGTTTCAGGGGGAACAACAATCAAACCGTAAGATTTCCACACTACTGAGAATGGGCATTAAGTGCAATCTGTGGTCTAGCAGAACAAAGTTTGCTAGCTAAATTCAAATTCCACTCCCAAGACTCCACAGCATTTACTTCTTGAGAAGATAAAGCTCCAAGACATTTGAAGGACTATCCCCATACAACTTCTGATGATGTTTTGGGGAAAAAACTGCACATTATCATCCCCTAGCTGACACTCCCTTAACATTGTATTATCTGAAAAAAATGGGAACGCAAGCAAAATTCTCAAATTCTTTTAATAATTTGCACCTTCTTCCTCTCTCAAGACCGCTACAACTTACAAACTTCATTTAATGAATATTAACTTTTGCTAGACAGACAATTCACAGCTCTGAAAAATAAGTCATTAGCTTCCTGGCAAAAGACTTATACCAAGCTGTAGTAATATTAAGCTTCAATCGATCGTGCCATCAACTGTGAGCTACTTCTATCAACTTCAGAGGAAAACACATCCAAACAGTTAATATTTTCTCAGAGCCAATGAAACTGTTGTTTTGAACTGCATCCAATATATGATGACTTCATTGTAAATTTAAGGTGTGGGGTTTTGTTTTGGGGGGTTGGGTTTTGGTTTTGGGGTTTGTTTTTTTCCTCAAGCTTCTTGTGTCCAATTTTTCTGAAGTCAGAGCTCAAGAGCAGGAGACATCAGAGCATGCTTTTTAACTGAATCTTTTCTAGAATTATTAAGACGACTTTACTTGTTTAAGATACCATATGATAAGACAAGATACAATATTCAGGCAAGTAAGTAATGCTAAGAAGTATCATCCAAAAATTAATTAAGTCTGGAAGTCAGTTGAACTCCAAAATTGACTTCAAGATAGTAAATAATATTCACTTACCTGATTTGTCTGACTACTTAGATATGGCTCAAAATCATCATCATTTACTGCATCCTTTTGATGAATCGAACCGTTTTGTACTGAAACTAAAAGTAAATCTGTATTAGGTATACTCTCTGGAAAATCTATGATGCACTTTTAATCTAGATAACATTTCTTAATCGCCTGTACATTGAAATACTTCTACTTGTGCTTTGTTGAGACTGAACATACTATTGTTAAGCACCACTTTGTTAAATTTAAAGAAAATAGCTCATTCTGTTGATGATCCCGATCAGATCCCAGGAGAGGTCTGGAAAGATGGCAACCAGAGCAGACTATTCCTGACTTACTCTTTCCTGAGCTCCACACACAGAGGAAAAACTATAGGCACATCTTATTTGCACAGGCAGTAAATCCAGCGTTTCCAGAAGTACCAGACCAAGTGCAAATCTGCAGACCAACCAGATCAGACATATTCAACAGGTTCAGGGAAAGTTGCAACATACAGCTTTCTCCTGCCAGGAGGAAAGTCAGTTACCACCAAGACAACCATGAAGGGCACCACTATTCAGCTATTTAATTCTCTATTTCCTACATAAATATTATACTGTACTGCATTAGTGGCATCTCTAAAGCTCAGAGAGTACAAAGACAGACAGAAACAAGAGCTAAAGGCCCCAAGGGCGATTACAATCCTTTCCCAACATATATGCCACTATATGCTGGAATCTCTTCCTACGTGCTCTTCTTGGTCTCCTATTACCTTTAATTTCATCTAAGGCATTACACCTACCTGGGATTTTCCAGCTGCCCAGCTACTTGAAGCGTCTCTCCACCCTCCCCCAGGCTACTATTCAAACAAAGTGAAATTGCACAAATTTCAAAGTTCCACTGTTTCCCATGGTGCAAAGCAGAACATGGACTTAACCCAGCAATTTGCAATTATACAACTTCAAGATGAAGACCTCTTCTCAAAAAGAAATTACCGCTTTGGCAAATGCAATTTTTTGTTATTTATCAAATAGGTTCAATAAAGGAAAAAAAAAAAAGTTTTAGAGTGATCAGTAAGGTGCACTGAGAAACCATAACAGCAGAAGTTATAACCAACCAGCAAATTTTCTGACAGCTGGAGAAACTGAGTTAGGAGCTGACTCTGTAGTTTCCCTCTTTTAGCAAAGGCTTCTGAAAAGTATATACAATCATGTAACTAAACCTTCAACTTTGTTGGAGCTAGTGTTTAAGAGTGGGTTTTTTTTCTGTATCATTGGGTGTTTTGTTTTGTTTTTTTTCTTTTGCCACCCAAAGTTCACATTGCAAACCAAGTGATGCCTGGACCAAGTCACTTCAATTTTTTTCACATTTGACTTTAACATCTCTAAAACAAACTGCCTTCAGGGAATGAAACTAGCTGGAAAAAAATGACAAAGGAATAGATATAATCACAAGGAATAACCAAAATTCAGGAAAAATTTATTAACTTCAGACAGCAGTAAAAAGAGCTAATAATTCATAATTTAGCACAGAACAACAGATTTTTTTTTCAAAGCAAATATCTGGGAAGGAAGAAAGCAACTCATGTTTTGAATATCTTCTTGGAGTTTTAACAGTCAGAACACTTGACACTTCAGTTATTACAAACTGGCACAATGCGTTTGTTTACTATCTACAGCCAAATATCACCAGCAATGGTGAGCACAATGGGTTTTAGAACTTGATAGAACAATATTCCTAATTAAATACCAAATTTAAATTAACATTAGGTGTTGGGGGAGGATTTCCATAAAGAGTTTCAGTTAAGGTCATTAATCATCCTGAATTTGCACACAATGGTAACATATTAATGAGCTGAAACACTATATTCCTCTTTATATTTGGCCCAGTCACACAGGGGATGAGCCTCAAAATCTTTTGTCCATGCCACATCCATTGCTTAGACTTAACCAAATAGTATGGAAAGCACAATTCTCAAATACAGTTCTGGTATAATGAAAAACATAGACGGCGGCATACAAGTTTCTTAAAAGTACGCAACCACAAATAAAGGAATAAACAGCTGCATGTCAAGACTAGAATCATATCAAAATTAATCTCCTCATACTGACAGCTAATCTTCATAAAACATGCATCTGCTGTGTTTATTGTTTCACAGGTATCTAAAGGTCACTTAAAACAGAATTATTTTTAGTTTGCCATTACAACTAACATAGAATACTCTTGTAAATGTATTTTCATTCTTATTCTGTCTGTATTGAGATCTTAAGTCAATGACACAAAATAGTTCTACACCAACATCTTTCATATTAAACATATACATTTCCCAGTGAAACAGCATCACTAGAAGTGTGTTTCTTTGGCTTTTCATTCTAACTTTACAGACTGTGTTAATAGCAAAGAATGTAGCCCCCACACACATTTAACAGGAGCAAACAGATTAAGATGCATGCCTCATTCCCAAAATCTCACATTAAGTGTTCCAACTAAACAGGGCAGTGATGAAGAATACTAATTGAAACTAATCTACAGTTACTAAAAATATCTGTATTAATCCAACCCTGAATATACCATATACTTCCGCAAACACTGTGAAAACATACAATGTAATTAGATATTGGGAAGAAACAACTCACCAAATAAAGGAACTTAAAGCTTACATTCTTTTAACTGCTACTATCCTTTGAATAACCACTTGTAAAATGCACAAAGGACGGCCAAAGGCATAAGAATAATTTTTTCATTAGAAGAAGCCGTTACACCATGATTAATGTGAAGAATAAATACTAAAAGAAACATGTAACACTTAATTCTTGTTTTAAACCTAATGCTTACATTTAAACTTTCTACGAAAGCAAAAATTATACACATATATATGTAAACACAAGTCAGCATTTCCTATCACAGGTGCAATACGCTGGCACAACAAACATAATGCCAGTTTCTCCCCACCCCTCCGTAAGACATCATTTGATTGATGTCAGTTCTGATGTTTTATTTCAACTGTACAATAGTTGACAACTAGAGTAAGAAAACTTTCAAGACAGGATAATTTACTCATTGAAGTCTCTGAAATACCGATGTTAATATCCAACACAACAGATGGATAGTACTGTTCTACACACTAAAACTTCAATCCCAGAAATTCTGGTCAAGGGAACGGGTACAGTATGCCAATTTATAATCAACTAGAATAAACCATCAAAAACATTTTACTAGACAATACAAATCAGCTACCTCCTAATAACATTTGCAGGTCTAATATTTTTTTGCTTCAATACAAAAAATACTCTATTTCCATGCATACACCCCTTATACTGCTCACTCCCATTCTCTCATATGCTCTACCAGACATGTGGACAGTAGCCTTTTTACCATCCTCTTTAATGTTATTACTCTTACGCACAGAACCAACTTCAGATTAGTCTGTTAACTCAGTATCACATCTTCCCTCAAAGCTCCTTTAAGCTGGGACCTATCATGACACCTGAAAAAGATTACTGTCTGCTAACATGTGGTCAGTAAGGATTGCTGATACTGACTTAATTTATCCACTTGAAAAAGTGTCTAACCCAAAGCCAACTACTTGTGCTACAGTGCTACCATCTTCAATCTCCCAGCCCTTTAATCTAATGCTAAATCATAACTTAGTTTCATTAAATAGACATTATACCAAATAATTTAACAGAATGTAGGAGATTATTGTTTTGTTTCACTATAGTTTTCATTAGGTCGTATTCTCACCAAGAGAATATGTAGTAAGTATCCGTTATTTAAAAGGATGCATTCCATGAAAATCCAAGTTCAGAAATGCAAAAATCTCTTCCTTAGATAGCACACTAAGAGACATGTTTTGATTCAAACATTCTGCAGCATTTACAAATGATAGCACACAAAAATATGCTAACATAAATAAGTTAAAGTAAAGCTGACTCGTACATTTTCGCTATTAAACAAGCTGCAACATAACACCCAAACAGAAATGCTTAATACTTCCACTCCAATTCATATATATGGAGTATTGTTCAAAAAACACTTGTATGACTCTCTAATAGCTGCATCTCAATTACCTCACTAAAACTGAGATATGGTAATTCAAAGAACGTGAAGCCACAAACCACTTGCTGAAATTAATATGACTTTTATTCTCATTTAAGGGCAACATGGAAGGTATAAACACAAACTATTTCAAAGGCACAAAGAAATAGTTATAAGCTCCAGTTTGGGGAAAAATAAGTTAGAAGTATTAGAATATGAGAGAGCAAGTATTCAAGAATGACCAAACTGAGAAGGTCTGAGGAGGTAAACACAAGTTCATTCTTCTCTGAATGCAGAGAAACGAAAACATGGCAAATTCAGCAATATTCAGGAACCATGTGCCACCTTGTAAGTGATGTATGTAATAAACAGCAGATAATCTGCAGATAGACAGAATAATAGAATAAGTACACTGTGGATAACATTAAATGATAGTTCACAGAGAACAATTAGATTAGTTCAGATAACGAACAGCGGGAGGCAAAGAGTACATGAGGTCCAAAAAAAAAAAAAAAAAAAGTTTATCATCTGCATGAAGAAATAATAAGCATATTAACACACAAAGGTAGCTGTGTGCATGCTATTCTATAGCTCAGCTTGCTGAACACCTAAGAATTAAATGGGCACAAGTGTACTGATTAGGCAAAAAGAATTCCCAAATAGAATATTAGTCTTTATATCAAAGATAACAAATTCCAGACCAGAAATAAATTGCAAGATATAATCTGAGATGCTGTTTATGACAGACTCGCCAAGAATTTTAGAGAGAAGAATATTAAGTAGTTAGTTCCTTGTTTCTGTGGGAGAGAAGAAATCCCATTGAGTACGGTATTTAAAACTAAGATGTTGACAGAAACATGAAAAAAGTAGAAAAGCAGAAGGCCTACAACACTGAAAGAATATTCCATACTGACACTAAAATGAAGAGAAAAGCCCACAAAATTTCTGAGAATAAGGAAGGTGATGTGTTCTGCTCACAGATATGAGTAACTAAACAGTCACGTGGCTGTTGTCTCGCAAGCTAAGAAAGCTGTTCAAAAGATTCTTCCTGATGATTCTAGGACACTGATTCTATTCACTGCACAGAAAGGCCCAAGGTGTACTGTTAAAGAGATTATACAAGCATATCACAAAGTCAGCTAAAAAGAAATAGCTATGTTATCGTCCGACTTCTGACATTAATCTTCATTTGCAAAATATAACATTTTAAATTGATGTACCGCTGTGCCACAGTAAAAATGCTGGGAAATAACATTTTGGCACACAATTTCCTGTCATCTTGCTCTGAAATAAAAGACATCCTATAGCTACATTCTCTTCCCACGATTGTCTGAAGACAAATTAACCTCCATAAACAGCAATATTAGATATTTATACAGAAATACAAGGAATCAACTTACCTTTATTTCCCTGTCCTTTAGGTCTCTGTATATAGGAAAGTGAAAAAAAAAAAAAGAAAGCAAGTTCAGTTAGAATCCTTTAATGTTTACTACAGGGTAATTCCATTTATTTGCCAATTCTGCTCTTTTCAACTTAGATATCAGTTTAAAATATTATTAAAAACATGCTATTATAAAAATACCATATTATATAAAATAATACAAAATATTACCAAAAAAAACAACAAAATAATTTTAAAATGTATATTATTTCAATGTTTTTTGGTGAAATTATCTAGTCTTTTACAGCATGTGACACTTACATGGTGTTGAAAACCTAAACAACAAATTAATTTTAATTGCCCCCTCCCTGAGAAATATAAGCAATACACAAAGCATAGAGTAAAAGAACAAAGAAAGTTAGTAGCTTAAGATTACTGCCAGTACTAGAACTTCATTAGAACTTCATTATCATACGTCATCTCTTAAGTTGACCGATGGCTACTTATCAGAGAATAACCTACAACACCTTGCTTCTTAGATATACAAAGGAATATACAATGATATTGTAAGCTGAACTACGAGTTGTACATTCCTCATCTAGGCAATTATATTGAGAAAATGATACAGTCTGCACGAAGCTTTCACACAAGGAAATAATACCTTAAGGAGGATTTTTTTTTTTTTTAGGATTAGTCATTACAAAACACTGTTAATCTGTCATGCACTGAGAATCACTGTAAGAGTACAAGTTACAGTATCCTTAATTCCTCTATAGCAAAATAAAATAGCTTAGAAAAACAAATGCTAGCCCATGAAAATCTAATTCATCTTCTCACATCTGTACAACTAAGCATGAGTGGGTCTCCAGGCTCCATTACTCTCTTCACAATTTTTAGTCCTGAAAAACTCAGTATTCAGAGGTTTGAAAGTTTAGGAAGCAACTACCTCCATCTTGCTTTTATGTGCATCTGTCTCAGAGTTATCATAAGACCGTTTAGCACTGCTCCATCTAAAGCTGCACTGGTTAGTCACCTCCCTCTCCCAAAACCAGAGAAAAATCTCTGTAACCTTAAAAACCCCAACCACCTCATCTTTTGGGATGAATCTAATCCAGACACAAAGGCATGCAGAGACCAACAAGAGACATGAAACTAAAAAAAGTTGGGAAGAAGAAGCCTTCGTGGAAGACAGAGCAATGAAAAGCTAAGAGATCACTGAGCTAGAAATAAGTGCATAAAAGGAAACTGGAGAGCATGCACAGAGACAAAAGAAACAAAACATTAAAGGCACAGAGAGAAAATAAAAGCGGGCAGGAGACTGCAGGGCCAAAACTTTTGGAGAGTGGCAGAGGCCCACGGAGGAAGCAGAGACCAAGACAGAATAGCTTCCAGGCAGAAAGAAAGGCCAGCAGAGGCCTAGCAAAGACAAAAAATAACAAACTCTAAGCTCCCTGAATAACCAACTAAAAAAAGCGTAGCACAGCGCACGGCGAGAAAGAGAGGAGAAGAGCTGGAAGAAGCGGAGGCCGCGGGGAAGGAGCAGAAAGCGGAGGCCCGCAGGGAGAAGAGGTGGGTGAGGAGAGAGAAAGGCACGAAGAGAAAGGATGCGGTAAGGTGGAGCCCGAGAGAACTGGGGGTGAGCAGGGGAGAGGAGCCGGGGCTGGGCGCCGCGGGGAGCCCGGCACCGAGGCGCTCCCGGAGCGGGGAGACGACACGGGAGCCCGGCGGGGCCCGGCCGGGGAGGGCTGGCCCGGGGGACGAGAGCACACAA